TGACTTATCACAGCCACTATATACCAGTGTCATAAAGTTTCGCAACCAGCGAGAGCCAAGTGCTGTGTAACAGACTCCATCAACACCTTCATCTGTTCATCTGTAAATACCTAAGAATCAGACAAACACGGATAGCTCAGTGAGAGTCCACAACTTAAATAATAATAATAAAATCCTTCATCCCAGCCTGTTTGAAATATTATTTTGTTTGCAAGGAAAAAAGATTTAACTGTAGATGATCGGCGCTAATTAAATGTCTCGCAATTAAGTTTTTAAATAACCTGTGAAGAAGTTGCTGAGCGTCAAAAACTGCATCATTGCTGACACATTAATTTCTGAGGAGCTGTTAACATCTCTTAATTGGCCTCAGTTCCACATTGGTGCACACAGATTTCCATTATGCTAACACCAATGACGCTATAACTTCAAAAAGCATAATCAGAATACTGTGCTATGATCAGCAATTCACTTCTGACCCATCTTGTGGTAAAAATGTATTCGATTTGTTGGGAGTCTTTTCAGCAGAAGCTTGAAATCCCAGAAATGTATCGCATCAGGCAGTTCTAAGTTGCTGTTTTGCTTAATTTCCCATCAGTTGATATTTGCAGGTTGTGTGAGCTGTTTATAGTAAAAAGTAACATTCTCTTTTCTCGCATCCTTACTGAAAATCACCAGTTGATGATTGCCCTCGTATCTCAGAGGTTTTTCAGTAAATGATGTTGTCCCTCTGTGTTGTCCTGCCGTCACTTCTCTGTGTACAGTAAACACAGCCACTGACTCATGACTCCATCCCCAGCTTTGGGGTCACTACATCCTAACTCGCTCTCTGTTTACCCTCAGTCTACCTCCTATCCCCTGCACTCCTCTTTGCTATCTCCCCCTGCCTCACTTTGTCCACCAGTCTCTTTCTCTGCGTAAAATATTTTCTGTGGATGCATTTATAATAGGATTTGGTGAAAACAGACAGCCACAGGGCAGTGTCCGGTTCATCGAATTTGCAGAAAAGAGCTCAAAATGAATAAATTGAGATCAGGGAAATAAAGAAATATCCTCACTGGGGGTTAATGTAAGTCATTTATTAAATTGCTGTTTTCTCAATTGACCTGCTTTACCAACTCTAATGTTTTTACACTTGGTTTTTGAGCTTGTGCCTCTGAGGCATCATTGCAGATTTCTTTGAATGACTGGAAAACAGGCCATATCTGTGTTAACATAACAGACATAATATTTATTGAATGTGACTCAGATTCTCTAACAGGATTTGGATCATCGGGGGGTCTGCACAATTACCCAGGAGTCAGAGAATCCTTCTTTCTTGATTTTTGTGTTTCAAATCCTTAAGCCCAGTTTCTCTTGTAATCTTATTCAAAACAGGATTTGTGGTGGTTTAAAGGCTTAAAGGGCCAGTGGTTGCTGTAATCTGATACAGCCAGTGAACTAGTCTTTTAAAAGTAAAGTCGATATGTTGCTAAGTATGCTTGGTGTTGGCTCTTGGTGGTGTGCCAGCATGCGGATCAAAATGAGGCCTTGCTGTGTTTGGTTTTATTTCAACCTTGTAAGAGCTGCAATACTTTCTCACTCCCTATGTGGTCGACCTCCACAGGCCTGGAAAGGCCTTCTGTCACGAAGAGGAAGTGTGGTAATGAGATTGTGGCATGACGTTAGCAGGGAAAAAAATAGCCTTGGCTGCTTTAAATGCTAACCCCACCAAACAAGCATTTATTATCTGTGACTCAGAGCAGGTGATAATATAATGCTTCTGATACATTAGTGTAATATATGCGTACTGATGGGTCCTAAATTGAAGTAAGAGCTGAATAAATGAGCAGACGGGCATAATGACGGTCTGCACAGGGCACCAGGGGTCGCTTAATGGTTTGATGGCTAGGAAAATTATGTGATTCTAATCCCGTAAAAAAACTTGGTAGATTTTTTCCTGACTTGATAAATCGTATTTTCCCCTACTGTCGTCAAAAAAGAACAAATGGGAAAATATCTTTTAGAAAAAGAGATGTTACCCCTTTAGTTCCAACAACTTAGAAACAATGATATTAGAAAACTTGCAAGCTGTATTGATTTACGTCTTATCTTGACATGAAATGAAAGAGACAACAAGATAATTAATTGGATGTCAAGTTCATTGTAAAGGGTCAAATGCCAAAAGGGTAAAAAAACACTAGTTTAGAACGACTTTGGTTCTATTTTGGTTAGCTATATACATGAAAGCTTCAGACGTTCACCAATGGGGTAACAAATCAGGAAAGTATTGTTAGTTTGTGTTAACCACAGATCTTATTTCAGAAATCTAATCAAAAACGAATTCAAAAACCATTGACTTCAAGATGGGGGAACCCGGAAGTGCTAAAATGCTAGCTTGTTTCACGGCTCAGGGATTATTTACTACACCAATGAATAAGAGGTAGGAACATAGTCATATTCAGCACCACAGTCTAAAGGACAGCTCCCCTTCTCGCAGCAGCAAACTTAACAAAACTTAACTTTGTAATGGGTCGAGTGTTTAGACCCGAGCTAGTCCTAGATCCTTTCTTCTGCCGACCATCAGCCAGGGTGTCAGATGTTTTATTCAACACAGCTGCGTGTATATTTAGATCCTGGCTGCCTCCTCAGAAAGAAGGGAGATTTGTTGTGTGTGTGTTGCGGGTCTCCAGAATAGGGTCACGATTGCTCCATGTTTCCAAAACTGCCGGACCACCACAGGCTAAAATCAAACAACCAGAACACCTGTTTCCAGACAGAGTTCCTCGTTCAGTCGCTGCTCAGATGAAAGGAGCGGAAAGTTTACGACTGAGGGGGAATTGAAATGACATCAAAGCCTTAGCGTTGTTTAAATGGCGGAACAGAGTGATTTTCAATTGATTAACTTTTCGGGGTCTGTGTGTGATGTGAAGTTTTTTCCAAAGTCAGACAGCTTGGTTTGTCATGAATCAAAACTGCATTTGAAGCGCTTTTTGCGATTTTTTTATAGCTGAAAAAGAATGTGTAATACCTGTAATGTTAAAAAAAACAAGGGGTATTTTGGAAAATGTATGATTGATGACAAAATATTACATAATTACTGTGAAGTATTCTTTTTTTTTTATGTGATTCAAAGTCTCGGTGCCTAGAAATCCTGGTTCTATCAGTGTTTACTTTAATTACACTTTAATTAACGAATAAATTATAATCATGTAGGCTGAAAAATGTATCCCTCTGTCTAGAATACTGCGTTTGTTGTTCTGGTGTTGTTTGTAATATAGTTGAGTTCAGCCAAAAGACAAATCAATAATCAGAACTTCCAAAATGTTGCATAATTTTCATCTTTGGACCAAGTCTCATGTATTCCAATATTAGTAACGCTCAAGTCATTTCATTAATACACAAAACGCCATCTGTATACTTAATAACTTCCCTTAAAGTGGACCTATCATGCTATATTTGAAATATATATTGTAGGGCCATACCTATACAAAACATGTCTGTGAAGTTTTTTTCAAAATACCAAACAGATCACCCATTGTAGCCATGCCTCATACTGCTCATACCCCTCTTTTGAAGCCCTGTTAGAGAAACGCAGATTTTGGGTCCTTAACTTAGAAAAAAAGAAAGAAGAGGAGACGGAGCTAATGCCTGATCAGAATTCTACCGGAGATAAAGTTACATTCGGTTGTGATAAAACGCCATCCTGTTTAAACCACGGCAAGGATTATTTCTGAAATAGTATGGAGCTCAAATGCTTTTTCTCTTGCAGGTTTATCACAAGTTGAGTTCCTTTTTTATTTCCTGCTTTTTAAACACATGTGCTCTCTAGGAAAGGTTAGCTTTGAGTGTTAGCGAGGCTTGCTAATGTAAACAAAGAANTGTGTTTGTGTGTGTGTGTGTGTGTGTGTGTGTGTGTGTGTGTGTGTGTGTGTGTGTGTGTGTGTGTGTGTGTGTGTGGCCTTTGTCAGCAGGAATCAGGCTCTGTCAGGCGGGACATGACTGGAGGTGCCTTGGGATGCCGAGCGCAATGTGGCTCAGTGGGTCTATGTGTGTGTGTTTGTGTGTATGTGTGTGTGTGTTTATCTAAAAGGGTCACAGTGCAGTAATGGGATGCTCAACCAGCTTGGTGTTCTTGTATTAGCGTGCAGTGTGGCTGTTATATGTAAAATGCTAATGGTTATTCCGAGAGTTATTCTAATTTCAGGTCTTTCCACTTACAAAAAAGTGTAATGACTGTAGCTACTTTTAGTGCTTAAACCCATACAACTTGTCAAAAGGTAATCCATATTTAGAAAGATCAATGTGAAAGTATATATATTACAGCGGTTTTATGTTATTCTTTTGTGTTTATGGATACTTAAAGTCAAGTGTGGGCTAAGCTAACCACAGCTTGACTTCAACTCAATAGAGACTGAATGACATATATAAGAGCGGTATCAATCATCTTATCAGGGATGGGCAACTTGGATGGTGGTGGGGGCCACATCATGTATGTACTGGCCACCAGGGGGCCGCAGATTCATTTGGAACTCACACAAATTCCATGTATTGTATGTAATTGTTAACAAATTAAATCTGACATCGACATTTGGGAACATCCTCTAATAAGCTCACTAAACAAATATCAGTTCACAGAAATGTTATTTAATTTTTACAAGTGGCATGTTTGTATTGAACAGGTTATTTAACAGTGGAATAAAACTATGTTATACTATTGGAAAGCACGGAAAATGTGTGTGCATTAAGATTAACCATTAAGATGACATAAACATGAAGTCATGAACACTAACCCAGACATTAGTTGTCTAACTTTAAACTAAGACACTTAATAAGGGGTATGTCAACACAGACACCTGTCAACCTCTGCTGTTCCTCAGCGCCGCTCCCCATCCCTCCCGCTGAAATTATGAATGAAAAGCGTATAGTAATCATAGATAACATGGCAGGGTCCGTGACAGTTTGTTTTCATCTGATTTCAAATAAACAAAGTCTTGGCTTTTAGAATATTAAACTTGTTTTGCCCAGGCATGACAACAGCCGATGTTTCTTGAGTGTTTCCCGGGAAACAAACACAATACACACAAACGCGTCACAGATTATTTTGCGGTATTTGGCTGCCGGACGAAATCATGTACGCAGCTCACGAAGTAACTAGGAGTCTAGTGGACGGTATCAGTACTACAAGTTAAAACCAAAAAATTAACCTTTTTATTTTATTTTATTAATTACGTTGTTTATAAATTAATCTGAGGGCCGCAAAAAGAGGAGGTGGGGGCCGCATTTGCCCATCCCTGGTGTAGACAATCCAGTGTGTGCTACAGGCTTCAATTATTGACATTTAAACCCAGCTGAGGTTGCCGATGTGTGTTGTACTAAAGACGTTATTTCCTTCAGCTAAAAATTACCTGGCTGTATTTATAAGGGGACCTCTCATGCAAAATGCACTTTTTGATGTCTTTTATAGATAAATATGTGTCCCCGGTGCGTCGGCGAACTCACGCAGCGTCAGAAAATAAAACCCTCTCTCTTTTCCTCCATACCCAAATCTTTTAAAAACAGGTGTACAACGAGCGGATACAGATTCCATCCAAACTGACGTCAATTTGTCGGCGGACCCAGAAGAAAGTTGCTATCTGAAACAATGCCTGACGTGTTTGACTTCTTTGTTTACATTAGCAAGCCTCGCTAACACTCAAAGCTAACCTTTCCTAGAGAGCACATGTGTTTAAAAAGCCTGAGACTGCCAAGGCACACNTTGACTAGAGAAAGTGATCGTTTTTGAGACACTATATTGAAAAATATATTTAAATGATGTGATACCCTAAACGTGGGTATCTGTGCCGAACAGTATCCTTGTTCGGCACAGATACCCACGTTTAGGGTATCACATCATTTAAATATATTTTTCAATATAGTGTCTCAAAAACGATCACTTTCTCTAGTCAAATCATATCGCAATTAGTAGTTTTTTCCCAAAAGAACAACAGCTGCAGCCCCTGAACTCTACCACTGCAGACAAAGCACACCATCTTATCTAAAGTCTCCACTAAAGATGGTGAAAGTCACCTTAAATCCACCCTGCCTCTGATAATTGTCCCTTTTTAATGTTAATTGGTGGGCTTCACTCAACCTCCAAGTATAGTCTGAACGCTTCAGGAACGCACTCTCTGATCCCCAGTAATTAGCTTCAGGTGTGTGTGTGTGTGTGTGTGCGTGTGTGTGTGTGTGTGTGTGTGTGTGTGTGTGTGTGTGTGTGTGTGAGAGAGAGAGTGTGTGTGTGTGTGTGTGTGTGTGTGTGTGTGTGTGTGTGTGTGTGTGTGTGTGTGTGTGTGTGTGTGTGTGTGTGTGTGTGTGTGTGTGTGTGTGTGTGTGTGTGTGTGTGTATCTGCGGCCCCCTGGTGGCCAGTACATATATTATGTGAGCCCCACCACTATCCAAGTTGCCCATCCCTGGTCTACACAAAGTAAATTTATACTGACGGACCTGTTTCTAGGATAAAGCTTTCCTCTTTAGAGTCTACCTGAGTTAAAGCTATATAGTCAAAATAAACTGCAGACCCCTTCTCATCCATAGAGGACCAGCCTCAAAGCCCAATGCTGAATTCTTAAGCCAAAGAAATGTCAACATTTCCATATTGTCACACACAGAGAGAGACAGGCACTGGCTGAATTTCACGGTCATGTGTTTGAAGTGCACCCCCCTTGAGAGAAAGGATGGCCTTCACGCTATCTTTCATTTCCTTTTTATTCTTTGTGACGTTGTGAGCAAAGTGAAGAGAAGCCAGTGAAACTGTTGAATCTTATAATACCAAACTAATATCGAGGCAAGCAAATGCACATAATGATTTAGTGGGTACCATCATTTGCTTCTTGAATACATGGTTGCTAAGGTACTACTCAATAAATGAATGTGACCTGTTCTATCAGCAAAACAATTAATTGTACATTTCAATGAAACAACACCCTACTGTGAGAAAATTAATAACATTTACCAAACAGTGCATTAAAGAGACAAAAGAGAAGTCCACTTAGTGAAATCAGTCTTTGTTCCATTCCATTATTTGTTATGGATTATTTCCATATCAGGCCCCGAAAGACAAAAGATCAACAGTGTTTTGCTGCACTCATGATGAGTTTGTTTGAGAGGATTTGAAAATTGAGCAAAGACAGCCCAGCATGAAATGTCATCGCATCAGGCAAGAACTCTGCAGTGGCCAAAACATAAAATGCCCGCTCTTCTTTTAATTCACCATAAAATGATTTTCCTCCCCCCTTTGTAGAGTCTCCACTGAGGTTAGCAGCCACGGTTCCGCAAATATTCATTAGGCGTAAATACAAAATCAGAGCCATTCTCTGGCACAGGTCACCTTATGCCCTATCAATTTGAATGCAAGGCATATCCGTAATTCATTCTGCTGCAGTAATGGGATTGCACCACTGTTGTAGTGGCAACCTTCAATAACTGCAACTTCAATAATGGACTGAACCCCTTTCGTCCTCAGCATGCCTCGCACCAACATCAATGGTAATGACTTTCCTTCATCAAAGTGTAAAAATACTATATCCAGGCCGTGCATTTCTCTCCTCACATTCATTAAGTCTGCCTTTAACCAACCTGCACATCTTCTTTGTACTCCTGCCTCGCATATTTCTGATTATAAGAAAGCATGTGCAGTGTGGGATGCATTCAAATGGAGTTCAGACTATACAAGGTCCTATTTTCAGTCAGCTTCTGTTGCACAATTCAGTCTACTCTACCTCTTTTTAGTAATCGGTATATTTTTCAAGTGTAAAATGTCCCAGTAGATATCTTAGACGATACTCTTAAAATAAGAACTCAATAATAATAATAAACTTTAAGCACCTTTTGCTTAATACATAACGTTTATTAAAGTGCTTTCACATAAAAACAGAAACCTTCAAACTCTTAAAGAAACGAACCAGCAGCTAAACAGACCTTTAAAACAAAGATGGTAAAAAACACACAAATTGATAACATAAACAAAATGTCTTAATTCCCCGTTAAAATCGCTCTGTTGTTTTAAAAAGGCGGAGGTTCAATCAGTATCTGAATATTGCTATTGACCTTCAAAATCAAGTTCAAACTAATTGTAATAAATAATGTCATTGTGCAGAATCAATAAAGATAAAGATAGTAAACAAAAACAAGCAGAATACTTATCATCTTTTTAGAAAATCCTCAATAAATGTTGATATTTGATGGCCAACAACCTTACAGAGATGAATGTAATGTGTTGGCTTGTCAGGTCCATTATGCCTCAGTTGTCAGAGGTATTGAGGTCCTGCCAAATGTGCAAAGGGAAGAAATGGAAGACAGAGTGTCCATGAGCAGGTGATGATGAATTACGCGGTGGAGGGTTTGATTAGCTTTTTATCTGCTCACGGGACTCTTGGGGATGTTCTGAGATTGATGAGCTGCGGAGAGCTAACATGCCGTTGTTTATTTGGACGCTACATACTTGGCTACAGTGCAGTGCGCCTCAGAGAGAGGACCAGCAAAGGCACACTCACATATCTTGGTGATTTTTTGTAATTTTAGGTACGCTATACAACCATACGATGTGAACATATAAGCAGCAGTTTTGTGAATCAAATCTCTGTGTTTGAAAACCAAATGTTTCCTTCACTAATCCCAGGATGCTCACCTGGAAAGGGAGTGTCTTAGTGATGTACATGTATGTTGTAATAATCCAAAAATCAATGCGTAAGAACATTATTGATCTTCCGCATTTAGTCCCATGATGTTCAGGTGTTATCTCTGCTGCAATATAGGGAAGCACTTAAACCAGGCCATTGATTTTCTTCAAGGTTCAAGGTCACCTTGACAAACACAGTCTTCATGAAAAAGAATGCAGGGATATGATGCAAGATGATGATTGAAAGCAGGTTAAAGATATACTGTAGGGAATTAAATGCCTTTGAACACCTAAAGCTTATTTACAGTGAGCCAGAAACAATGTCAAGATAATCACATTTGAATAACAAGCTTTGAAGGTAAATATTGGCAAAAAAGTCCCTTTGGAATAAAGAAACTGTTGAATGATAATAGTTAATCGTACAAACATTAATTTTAGACACAGTGAATCTTAAAGAAAAAAACATGAATGACTTGGCATGAGTTCATACGAAGCCTGTAATGAGCACTCTGCCTTTTGAATACATGCTTAATTGTGTCATTAACATAATTGACAAACTTGGCACTAACATACATATTTACTCAAGGATGTTCTGGTTGAATGAATCTATGAAAAATGAGGAAATGTACGTATGTTAGAATTTTTTGAATGTAGAGTGAATATTTAGCATCATTTTATCGATCTTTAAATTGACCCAATGCTCTCCGAAGCCCAATTGGTAGCACTATATAGACCCTCCAGAAAAACGCGGGCTAAATTCCTTGATTATGCGGGCTAAAATCCTTGATTATGCGATTAAACATGCAGGGTTTTATGTGATTTTATGCGTTGAAATTGCGGGAAGTTAGGAAATATGCGGAAAGTTGCGAANCCCCCACCCCCACACACCACACACACACACACACTTCTCCGCCTCATTCTGTTTTCATTTACTCGTTCGTTATCTGACCAGCTTCAATCTTGTAGGCTACTCACTTCGTTTCTTGTAGCCCTCGAAAGGGTTTTGGAGGTTGATCCCTCGGTGAACGGGAGTTGAATGGCTTTCTTGTCCGCAGCAGCAGAAAGCATTTTCGAATGTTTGAATGAATCAAAGTGGGTTGTCACCGGCGATTTTCTCTTATGCTCCAACACACAGTTGCACGGGGTGCAGAATAGTTTCCCCCCACTTTTTGCCCGGTCTTTAGTAGAAATGTTCGTTGGTAAATGAGCTCTATACAGTGTTGTTTACATTCTGTGATGCGCGAGCTGATGACGTCATGTCAAGACGAGTTAACTTTTTTTTCTTCTCAATTTTGTGTGGAAAAATGCGGGGATTATGCGGCCTTTTGATAAATATGCGGCTTTTTAAAAATCTGCGCCATTTAGCTGATTATGCGGTAAATTCTGCGATCGCAGAATCGCGTTTTTCTGGAGGGTCTAACTATAATAAAATCTTTCAGGTTTCACCACTTGAGCTTTTAAACAAATATATTTAAGCAATAGCTCACGAGAGGGTTGTCGACCCTCCGCTTCGCGTCGGGCCGAACCACGCCCCTTAACTGTGATATAATGAGCATATATCACGGCCTGAAAAAAAACGGTTACCAAGTGTGGCAATATGAAAGAAAAATACACACTAATTTAAATAGTTTTTATTAGTAAATAATGATGTTCAAAATAAAATAGTCCCTCCGTTGCCTTCTGCACAAAACATAGTGCGAGGTCGTTGCTATGCAACAACACTAACAGCTAGCGAACATATTAGACAGAGAGCATTAATCCATTATTTGGCTATTTATTTACATTAATGTGTATGTTGCCGTTTATTGTGCACCCACTGAAAAACTGTCCAGTATCAGTAGCATGGCTTACGTGGTTGTGGTTACTTGTATAGGTTGCTGTTGTTCTTGGCTGTTGCTTGGCGTGGCGAGAATATTGCTCCACTTTCTCCGGTCCCCGAGATTGGGCTTCCAGTAGCTCTGGAGAGAGCTTTCGCACCTGTGGCCACTAACGGTCATAATTGCTCTGCTTTGTTTCAAGACACGTATCAGAAAGCTTTTGAATGGTGCTACTTTTCCAGTTGGTCTACCTGCTCTTCACGTAGCTATGCCGTCGTTTAGGTGCATTTTTTTTCTGGAGATAGGCACTGCTCAATCCATTCCTCCATAGTAAGGCCACCCCGAAGGTCGAAGTTAGGTAAAGGATGTGCAGCGAGGCGGTCATTATGGGTAAAAGAACACCCGACAGGCAGATCAAAAATAGTCCGTTGTTACTGTTTGAACTACGTAGCAACGGTAGGAACTGCTTCAATAGCGTTTTTGCGGACCTTTTTGATTACAGATTTGAAAACATTGTTGCTTGCTTTAAAAGTNAAAGCCTGAAATAAAACATGTTATAGAATCAAAATAGCACAAAATCTCAAAATTGACCAGTGCTTGAAAAACGATGTTTTTGCCTGCCGTGTCTCGCCTTAAGTTAGCTATTAGTTTAATTACAGTATGCTCTTTAAAATACAACACCTACAATTAAGGCTGAAACTAATGCTTTTGACGCAAACAAGCCTTTTTGGTTTGAGATGTAAAGAGAAATTATGAAATATTACCATATGACGAATACAAATAAAACAGAAAACATTTTTAAAGACTATAAAGATGGTATATGAACTAAACCTTGTCAGGTTTGATTCTGCAAGATGCATTCTAATCTTTCTTAATCCACAGTAAACTTGTTTTAAAATGTATTTACAGTGATCAGAGGTTTATAATCTCTCCTCATATGTGTCTGTGATCAGCCTTTGTGTGTAGTATCAATCCATATCCACTTTTCCAGCATATGAACCCTTTCTGGGTAAATCTATGAGGAGATGTGAGGTCTGCACATTGACTTATCTAACTAATAAATGCAGATTAGCCCGAGAGTTTCAAACACTCTGGATGCACTGATTTCCATTTTGGAAATACTAGGCTTTATTAGGCATGGTTATTTAGCTCTGGCTTCTGTTGGGAGCTCGCCTGCTTGTTGCTCAATACAGAGTATTAGGCCTAAGTGAAGGAAATGGATGTTGTCACACTGCACGCACACACACAGGGTGGAGGGTGCTTCTGCCATATTGCTACATTTCAAAACCAGCATTTATTCTCCTTTGTGATTGTATCTCTTTAGAATTACACAATTAGGGCAGTGAATGCACAAATATTGGGTCATATCCTTCAGCAGAAACATGTAAACACATTACACCTCCCTTTCTGCTCCCCCTTTCTAATAAGTATGTACTCAAAATACACCGCCAAGACACAAAACTATTACTCTTACTCGCGACAAATGTATTTGGAAAAAGTATTTTGTGTGCAAGATACATATCATACATTTAGTTGAGTTTTTGGATAAAACAGCCCTAGGTTCAATACAAATATATTTATAAAACGGACAAGTCAAATCAAGCAATCCGATTGGTTCTTAGCCGTGATATAATGAGCGTATATCACGGGTAAAATTGTAGTTACTTTTCATAACAAGTCAGTATCCCTCCGCGTCTGAGAAAAGCAACCACCGTTACATTACGTCCGTTACGAAACTAACTAACTAACAAAGCTTAAGATGGAAACATGTAAGGGATAATGTGTAGCAAGGACTTATTGACCATTGTTAAAGGACGCTCACATCTGCAGAAAGAAGTCCAGTCGATTTAACTGTATACAGAGAAGTAACGGTGCAGAAACCCTGCTTTTTACGCAACAGTCCAGACATAGAAATCAAACGGCAAAACATATTCAGTTGCGAGTTACTTTGACATTAGGGCAGGGATAACTATACTTTCCAAGATTTGACATAATGAATTGTGCTACTTTTAAAGCAAGCAACAATGTTTTCAAATCTGTAATCAAAAAGGTCCGCAANTGAACTTTGGATAAAGCCAGGTTAAAAATTCTTGTTTCATTTTGTAGTCAATAAAAAGAGATATCCAAAATCCCTTTTGTAAAAGCCTTAGATACTAATATGACTACAAAATGAAACAAGAATTTTTAACCTGGCTTTATCCAAAGTTCAGATTTCGATTCCTGAAATGTGTTAAAATATGCACATATTTGATGAGATAATGGCTAATTTGCATATTTAAACATGCTATTTCAGAAAACTTGTAATACAAAAGACAATTGCCTTATTGTAAGTAATTAACTGGAGAAATTTCTAGCTGATACCTTTAAGTTAAAAAAATTACCCTATTCACCTGGGGTGTCTCGCCTTAACAATAATATTCAATTTTCTTCACTTGAGACAGTTCTACCTTATCATTTGAGTACAACTGGTCATTTGTTCTGCATTTGCACTCCTTGTCATGTCCTTTTTAGATTCATTGGCTTGTGAAGTTCTTTCTTAACATTTTTGATATACTTTATTTTGTACTTTTCTCGTACTTGTTTCCTTTCTTGTGCTGCTTCAACAGCTGCACTTTCCTTCTGGCTTATCTTAATATGAAAACAGCACACATTCATCACAAAATAAAACGGAGACATTTAAGCTGTGCAAGTGTTTACTACAGCTACGTTGGCAGCAGCAGCAGCAGAAGCAGCAGGATCTTCCCCAGAGTATGTGGCCTATGGGTGTGATTAAGCAAAGCTCAACACTGGCATGTATTCAAGCAGTGCATTTTGACTCCGTCTAACTGTTGGTTCATGTTCAAATTGGTCATGTTTATCATGCCCTTATTGTGGTTTTCAGTCACGCTGAAAATGACTCTGGCTTCTTTATCATAGATGAATTTCAGCCCTGTTGGAGTTTAGTTCCTGCTGAACTGATAGATGGTCAAACAGAGAAAAAGCCTGAATTGCATGAAAGATTGGATTTCTTTGTCTATTTGATCTGGAGCTCACTTGGCTACTTGAAGTACATATTGGCCAGTACAGACTTAAATGCTTGATCTCACTTGAGAAAAGCTACGTTTCAGATATAAAATTGAACTTCTTTAAGAAGACTCTTTCAAAGATGGCTTATTTGGTGCATGCAGACTAGTGTCACAGTCCTTGATTTATTTGCAGATGTGGTTTTAGTTGAGTGTCAATAAGTTTTATTGTTTTTAACTAATCCTGCACTTTCTCATCTCAGCTGTTACAGTTTAATGTTACAACAGTGCTTTTTGGTTTCTTTAACATTTCAGTTTTTAAAACAACTCCTTTTCATTATGTTGAAAGCTTCCCAGAAATGTTCTATCAGTACCAAGCTGATTTGTCTGAACTTGTGCCCAACTCTTTTCAGAACATCCGTGATAAGAAAGCTAAGTAGTCCCTGAACTCAACCTTTTAGCGAGGTGATGAAAATGTGCTTCTCCTACTTTTCAAGTCTGTTTTGTGAATCTTCTACCATCCTTAATGAGCACCAAATGGAGCCATGTTTCTTTTAGTATAACCCACTTTCAATTTCCTGTGGTATTTTTTGTGACACCACTCCACAGAAGATGTAGTTTTAGGTTGAAAAAGAAGGTTAGCGTGTAACACGAGCCCAGCCTCAAAGTGCTTAGTGGTGGGATTTGATGTTGAGCACAACCCATTTTCAAATCTAACCAGCAAAAAGCTGCTGCTATGGTTTCTTTCATTGGACTATAACCGGACCCCTTGACACATAATAAAATGACATAATACAATATTCATCAGGCAGCATGCTTTTGACAAACTCGTCGATAACCACACTATTAATAATTGAAAAGTGCAGAGGCTTCAATGCAAACATAATGGCAGGGCTCCATGCATTGTGTAGCAACGTGTCAAATTAAGGTGTTTTCACTGCCTTTAGGAAATAAAAAAAAATCATTAATGGGGTTTAAATTATGCATACAAGCCTGTTTTTTTGCGATTCTTGTTACACATACAGTATACCCCATAACATTAAAAATAGAAATAAAGTGAATAATGTATGCAGTAAACAGAAATTATTA